AAACCTCTTCCTATAAGAGAATGAATGACTTTTTTCTTTCTGGTGGAGAATTCACAAACTTCATTTTGGTCAATATTTAATCAATGTTTTGCATATAGTATTGCAATTGCAGGCTAGTTTTGACAGAGACTTTCACTTTAGGAACGTATGATTTGATTGTTAAAATATTTATTATTTATTTTTATTTGAAAGGCAGACAGAGCTGAGCCAATCTGAAGCCAGGAACCTGAAGCCTCAGGTGGGTTCAGGGCCCCAAGCCTTTAGGCCATCCTCCACTGCTTTCCCAGGCCACAGGCAGGGAGCTGGTAGGGAAGCAGAACAGTTGGGACATGAACTGGCACCCATATGGGAAACAGGCACTTGCAGGTGGAGGACTAGACTGTTGAGACATCATGCCAGTCAAATTATTTGAATTTTTAAAGATTTCCCTTATCCATAACATATTGTGTGTCCTGAGTCTATTTCATGTTCCACTAAATTTAGATGGATTTTGTAATATGAGGCACAAGCTGGAATCTTTTGAAATAAGTTGCAATTAATGATCATCTCTGATTACTAGATTAAATAAGGACCATCCTGGGAAAACTGAGTATATCAGATAAACTGGAGCACATTATCTCCTTAATTAAGCATTAGTTCTATTACATACATTTTAAGTATTACAGTTATTAGGGAGTATGTTGAGTTAAATGTAATTGTTTTTGCTGCCTAGTTTATGCCAGGCACTATAATAAAAGTGTGCATAGATTTTAGTAAAGGAAATAGAATATATACATAATCACATTATGCAAATGTGTGTAGTATAATGAATAGTGGACAGGGAGCCAGGAGACCTCCATTTGAACATTACTGTTGAAATTTAATCACTCTATTTAATGACTGGCTGATTATCTTTATGGTGTTATCTGCTCTCACTATTTAATCAGTATTTAGCCCCTAGATCCAATTGTTCACTAAGGGTTTGGATTTATTTATGACTTCTCAAAATTCATTTTTTTCTTTTGTTTCCTCAAGTAGTCAAAGATGTAAAGATTTCATTAAAAACAGTAACATTGATTGTCCTTCATATCCCAACTCTGACATTATCCTGTTTCACTTTATAGATGTGCATATTGGTTGCTTAGAAGGGAACAAAAAATAGAAAACACCTCTATAGTGCTGTAAAGAAAAGCCGACTAGAATATTATATTCCAAGACCCCTGTTTTGTTGCCTAACACATAAAAAATAATAAAGCATATCTATCTAGCATCTACTAAAATTTTCATTACTTCTCAGCATCAAATCTTAATAGTTAAACTGTATTAATCTCTAGCTTCTTTTCCAGAACAAACAATATATTCTTTTTCTCATGTAGCATAATGGTGTTATTTAAATATAAAATGATATTAAGGCATCAGAACCAATATTCATGTAATTTGAATTACTTTGCTAACACTACTGATTAATTTTTAGGTGAACCAGTCGAATTCTCCAACTCATTTCTGGTCAAGAAATAACATGTTGACATTTGACAAATGGCAAAGACCAACAGTCAGCTGTGGATTCTGCACTGACTCACTTGGGATTTAAACCATGATCTTGGCCTCATTATCATGCTGCTATAATCGTTTGAGGAAAATAGCTACAAAAATAAATTCTGAAAAAAGGAAATAAAATTTCTGCTCTTTCTGTCTCCAAGCCTAAACCACTGTACAGCTGTGTGCTTTGAGTAATTCTCTTAGCAGGTGTTTTATATATGGGTAATGAGCTGAAAGCAGGAAATCCTCCTGAAATCTAAGCTGATCACGTCAGTTCTCCACCTGACAAAACTCCACTATCTAATAAGATGAGTTTGACTTCTTTGGCATAGCCTGAGACTGCAGTGTAATCTTGCTACAATCCATTTATCCAGATTTTGCTGCAACTCCTGCCTCCTTTTACAGTGAAGTGATTTTCTGACCATGTTCTGATTATGCATGTATTCATTCAGCCTACTCTTATTTAATGCCCATAATGTATGAGGCATGGTCAACTTGAGGAGTAGACAGGGACATAAATGGCAACAACACACTAGGACAAGTGTTATTATATAAGCAAAGTATGTACAATGGCAAGAGAGCCTGGAGAAAGCAGACGGAAGGAGGACAAAGGGACGCATGAGCTTACGGTAAAGACACGGTAGTGAACGGACTGAGGGAGCAGAGAAGGTCTAAGCCATTCAGTAGAGTAGATGGTCACGGCTTAAGAGGGACATGTTCACAGGCTGGGTTGGAGGTAATGCTAGAGCTAGGCAGGAACTGAATCCCAAAACTCTGGCTTCGCAAATACTTTATATCTAACTTTCTTCACACCTCTGGTCAATGCTTTTGAGAATGCTTTGTTCCTTTCTCTTGCCCAACTGAAACCAACAAGTATGATGAATTTAGTTACCCAGAAATTCATTCAATAGATATTTGCTGTAAAATCTTTCCAGAGACCAGGCATTGTTCTAGGTGTTTGGACATATTAGTTGAATTCATGCTGTCTGCTTCTTTTTCTGACTCTTTGGGAGAAACAGATTGTCAATGATAAACATAACAAACTGGCGCATTATTCAACTGGGTGTAAGAATACAAATACAAATACAACTGTCAAACAGTGGTAAGTGCTATGGAAAAAGAAAAAAGTAGGGGGAGTTAAGGCAGGTTGGAGTAACTAGTGTGAATTGGCTAGTTTACTTTAGGTTGGTTCATATACTGTGGAACATGCCCCAGTAAAACACAAAGCCGTATAGGACACAATGAGATGGGATGAACACATAAGGCCTGAGGGTGAGGGGCAGGAAACACAGACATTTAAGCTTAGAAATCACAAGAGAAGAATTCTAAGGACTGCTTTGTCCCCAGCGCTCTGAAATTGGGAGCTAGCCAACCCGTACCTGGGGGAACAGTGAGGGAGGAGGGGTAGGATTTACTACACTCCAGGAAGGTAAATACAATACAAGCCCCAGAGGCTTTACATTACTCATCAATCTAGAATCTGGTACTACACAGCGCCGGAGGAGGCAGGGGATAGGGGTGTGTACAAACACATACTCACACCCACCCACAACTTTGTCACTCCCGGAGCCGGGGAGAGCATCCGAGAGAGGGATCCACCCGCATTCCTGACCACTCCCGCCTCGCTCGGAGCAGCGCGCCCGCTCCCCGCCCCGCCTCCACCAACAGGGCAGCCGGTGCTGCACTCGGCCCTGTGCCCGTCCCGGGGGAGGCCAGGGCAGCCACCTCCCTCCTCCTGGAGTCCGCTGCTACGAAAATTCAGCCTCGGCCTGGAACCCTAACCGGCTCCTTTCTCCCCTAAAGTGGACGCCACTAAGGGCCACGCAGCCAGAGGCCCTTGGGCCCTCGCTCCGGCTCACCCTGTCTCCGGACCACCCTAAGTCTGTCTGTAAACCCTCAGAGCTCCCTAAACCCTGACTCTCTGGGTCTCACTTTGGCGCTCTCCTTTCCTTCAGCTCTCTGCAAGCATTCCCCGCCACTGCCCCCTTCCCAGCACTTTCTCGCTCCAGCCTCGGGTCCAAGTCCACAACACCTGCACTGCCCACAGGCCTGTACTTCCCCCAGTCCCTCAGGTAGCAACCCTCCCCTCCACACCCCGCGGCTCTGACACCCCAAGGGACCCTCCCACACGTTCGCATCCTCCGGTTCCCAGGCCCCCCTCACACTCCCTACGTCCCGGGGTCGGATACCTGGGCGCTCCTCCCCCATTCACCGCCCCCGGGGTACCTCGTCACACTATGACACTTCTTGACAGTCACATTCTACCCTCCCGCTCAGGTGCCCAATTCTCCAATCCCCTCCAACCCTGACACGCACCCCCATCTGTCACACCTGGCAGCCCTCACAGGCACTCACATTCTCGCCCCCTCCCCGTGCACACGCCTCGGACTCCCCTCACGCGCACAATCGCCACACCTCCATCTTCCAAACTCTGGCGCCTCTCTCTCTCTCTAGCCAGAGTTCCCCTCCCGCCCCCAGGTCGCGCCCAGGAGGAGTGGCCGCGGCCCGCCCGCCCTGGCCCGGCCTGGGCTGCCGCGAGGTGACGCGGCCCCCGCGGGAAGAGCCTGGGAGGCGGAGGGGCGGAGGCGGCGTGGGCAGCGGCACTGAGCAGCGGCGGCAGCGCAGGGAGCTGGCCTTCCGCGGCGACTCCACCGACCCAAGGGGGCAGCGGTGGCGTCTGAGGGGCCCCCTGGCGCGCGCGTCCTGAGGAGGGGGTCCGCGCCCGACCCTGCTACGCCGGCGGAGCTCGCTAGGATCCGGGCGTTGGCAACCGAGCGGCCCTGGCTGGCCCTGACACTCTCCGCTTCCAGCCTCTGTCCTTCCTGCTCCGCTTTCTTTCGCTTCTGCAGTCTAGCCCGGAGTCGGGGGTTGTGTGTTTGTGTGTGTGTGTGTATATATATGTGTGTAGGGGGGTCTTCCCTCCGCGGCGCGCGGGAGCCCCGTGACGCGCCAGCCGGCGGGACGGCTGAGCTGCTTTCTCTGGGAAATCGCCTTTGCTTCCTCACGCTCCCCCGGCCGCTCCCGCCGCCTCCGCGCCCCTCGGGCCCGCGGGACGCCGCCTCCCGGCGCGGCGAGCCGGCTCCTCGGTCTCCCCCGGGGGCCCCGCTTCGCAGGCACTCCTTTCTCCTGCGAGGCGGCGCGCGTCCCCCGCCCACGCCCCGGCTGGGTACACGAGCGCCCCGGGCCGCGCGCCGCCCTCCCGCCGGCTCTCTCCAGTCACCCCACCCTGAGCTGTCCCCGCCACCTTACTCCACCACCCTCCCTCCCTCCACGCTCGCGCACTCCGCGTCCCGGCCTCCGGCTCGCCTCTTCCCCTGAACCGCTCACTTGCCAGCCCTTCGCCCCCGGGAAGAAGAAACATTTTCCCGGAGCGCACTCCTCGGTGCCCGCCCCCCCACCCGCCTCCCCCTCGAGTCGGCGCTCGCCCTCCCCTCCCCCCTGCTCTTTCTTTCTTGGGGGAGGGGGGCTGTGGCCTCGGATTGAAGGCCATTGATTTGTATGTATTTGTCCCAGCGCCGGAGGCTGCCCCAGCCGCCCGTGCAGGTGCCGCCGCTGCCAGTGGAGTTGCCTCCCTGCTTCCCTAGGGTGGTGCGGCTCCACCAAACATGTCGGCTCCTGTCGGGCCCCGGGGCCGCCCGGCTCCCACCCAGGCGGGTTCGCAACCGCCGCCGCAGCCCGAGATGCCCGACCTCAGCCACCTCACTGAGGAGGAGAGGAAAATCATCCTCGCTGTCATGGATCGGCAGAAGAAAGAAGAGGAGAAGGAGCAGTCCGTGCTCAAGTAAGGACCCGGCTCCATCTTCCCGCCTCCCTCCCTGCCCTCCGCCCCCTCGGCCGCTACCCTGCGGCCGCCTGCGCGTCCCGGATCGCCGCCCTCCCTCCCGCCGGCGGCGTCCGGGCCACGAGGGCTGCGGGCCGCCGGGGCTGCTTTCGGGGTGTTTAGCGCGCGGTGTGTGTGTGTGTCTGTGTGTGTGCGCGCGCGCGCCTGCCGAGGCCGGCTGAGGTGAGGGCGGAGAGCCTTTGGGTGGTGTGGTACTCCCGGGTGCCCTTCCGGACCATCCCCTCCGGATACTTGGGCTCCGGGGCCCGGCTCCGCGGAGGCTGAAGCCCAGGCTCGGCGCGTCGCTTCTCCTTTCCCACCGCCCCCGCGCCGAGGCAGTGACTGGGGCAAGGAATCCAATATGGCCGTGCACAGGTGCTCCCTGGCCGGACCCGAGCGAGGGCGCGCCGGCTGGGGGATGCGGGGACCTCTGGCCGGGCTCCTCCGCAGGGCGGAGGCTCCGCTCGCCAGCGCGAGGAACGGCCGGTCAGCCCACGGTCGCCGCGGGCGGGAGGGCGGCGGCGCGGGCCAGGGGCCTGAGCTGAGCCGCGCGTCTCGGGTGGGTGTGCGGCCGCCGCCATCTTCCAGCCCCTCCCCCTCGGCGAGTGCTGACACCCTGCACTCTGCCGCTCTTCCTGTTTGTAACTAGTAGATCTGTTCAATCCTGACGAGGCTCTAGTTTCTGGCCTGACTGCGATTTGGGACGCTGGCTTACCTCGTGAAGTTCTGCCGAGAGGCTGCCGGGATTCTGCCGGGGCGGGAGGCAGTGAGTGTAGCACTCGGGCGTCGGGTGGCCGTGTAACTTCAGCACCAGGGAACTGTCCAGACGGGCTTCTCGGGAGCCTCGGTCTGCTGCTCTCCACGGGCCGCCAAGAGGTGCCTTTCTACAGGTTATCTGATTCCTGAGTTACTGCGTGAAAGGGATTGTGCAGAAGGCGTGTGACCTTTTTACACTTTTCCGGTTCAGTTTTCTGTTTTGAGGTGTTACTCTCGAAGACATTAACTTGCAAGTTAGTCTTATGCATGTCATCAAGTAAACTTTCCCCGCATTCTCCAGTTAGTTAACACACTGTGGAGCTTTCCATAGAGCAGCTAAAGCCCTGACCTTTACTCGCATAACTTAGGAAAACAGGTTGTAGAAGCCGGTGTTCTTAAATGCACGTATAAAGAAATAGTTTTCTCAAATGTTTTCATATTTTAGTGAAAACCTCCAACTTAAGTACCAAACATATGAAATAGTCATACTTTACAGAAAGTTATTATTTAATCACAAATTGTTGAAGGGCTGAGGGAACACATCTATTTCTGACATAGCAACTGGAATTAAGAATGACTTCTCCAAACCTGATTTCTGAGTTTGAGCACTTGTTGGGAAGATAATGTACTATAGGCTTGTGAAATGAAAAAAAGAAAAAAATTAAGTAGCTTACTTCAGTTAATGAATGATAAAGTATTATTTTTAAAAAGCTTTTTCAGTATATTCTTCATGTGTCCCAACTTTACTGTGTATGTTACCAATGCCAGGCTTTTGATATTTAAATATATGAATTCATAATTTTTACTGTAAGTGCGAAATGTGTTTCCAAATTCATACTAGAATAGGATTCATTGTTCATAACTTCTACGCATCTATTTAAATGTAAAATATGTCTTTAAAAATAGTATGGTAAATGATGGTGTTTATTAGCCGCTTCACTATAGCTAAGAGTGTTTGTAATTTTAATAAACAAAATTTAATTGGGCTTTTGGATTTTGAATTAGGTTTGCTCAAAATGCACAATATGTTTTATTAGGAAAAATGTTGTAAAAGGGTTTTTCAGGCAACCATGTGCGTGTACATTACATCTGTACGTAAAGTACATACTCATGAGAGTGCATATAATGGCTGTGCCTTTCTATTTGCATAGCTTAAGGGGGAACAAATATAATCTATGAAATTATAGCCACTGAAAAATACATTTTCAGGTTTATTTTAATTAGTTGCATTTTTTTACTGGGTCTTGGAAAGGAGCTTCTTCTCAAAATGGCCTACATGGCTTCAGAATTTTTACATTCCTTAGCCAAAAGTGACTTGGAGATTAAAGCATAATGTTTGAAATTTTAGTTTGAGATGTCCTTTAGAATGTTTACATAGTAAAATAAGAGTAGACAAGGAAAATAAAGACAAACAGACTGTATAATAGGATTATTGTAATGAGAGAAATCATTTTGAAGAAATTGACAAGTTAGGTATATATTAGTAATGGGTATTTAGTGATAGTAGTATTCTCCAATGATTACTCTTAATCATACACCTCTAGGGCTTGTTCCTCTGGTCATGACTATCTAACTCTTTGTTTAGTGTTGTCCATTTAATTACATGTTAATATCAACTCTGAGAGAAGGCCACGGGCAGAGAGGAAAAAACAAACTCAAAACCTATTTGCTTTTAACAACTTTGTTAAAAATTAAGTTGAATGTATGAAAAGGTTAAAACCGGGAGGTAAATGTTTTTACATGATTTATGAGTTTTAAACTTCATATTAAGTATTTATAGAAAATGAAATGTTCATATACCAGGCCATCACATATCTTACAGAGGAATATAGGAAAAATATTGGAACTTACAGTTACATTCCTATTTTTATTTGAAAAAGATGTATTGAAAGTTTCATTAATATTTAATACATGGACCGACAATAATGAGACATATATACTTTGTAAATAAACATGTATATATTAAGAGATTGATAGCCTGAGATATTTTAATGAGCGGTGAGGAATGAGAGCAGACATGACCCCTGGAATGAACTATGGCCTTGGCAGCTCCCGGCCTGGGAAGTGACCTCTATTTAGTTGTCAGGAATTTCTTCAAAGCCCTATTGAGCATCCACAGAGAAAGTCTTGTGTCAGCATCAAATCACAGATTTTACATGTGACTGAGATCCTATAGTTTTAGAAACATTTTTACACCTTGTTAGGTTCCTATTCAGAAATTTGTTTTTAAAAATAGTGATGTGAATTCTGGTAGCAGTTTTGATGCGTTATTTAGTGTGTCAGTAAGATCTGTCATGTCCTTTTATTAAGTCTTTCAAGACTGTGAACTTATTGAGGGCAAGACTTGTAATTTCCCCTTCTTTGGTGTTTGTTCTGAACATCCTTAAATGCCTGTTCATAATATATGATGATGATTTGAACTGCGGTGATAATTGGATAGTTTACCACTTGTGTAGGAAAACAAAGGATTATTTGTTGAAAGAAAAACATACTAAATTAAAAGTTCTGTGAAGATACTTCAACAGTCCATGCAAAAGTTAATGTAAACATTTATTTTGGTATCCCCTACCCAACTTTCCCAACACTGAAATCAATCAATTCATAGGGTCTTTGGAAAAGATCATGGCGAATGTGTAAAAGAAACTATTCATGAATTTCAGCTTTGCAACTATATATATATGGTTTTATATATATTATATTTATATACAAGATTTATTTTTATTGGGAAGTCAGATATGCAGAGAAGAGGAGAGATAGAGAGGAAGATCTTCTGTCTGTTGATTCACTCCCCAAGTGGCCGCAAAGGCCAGAACTGAGCTGATCGGAAGTTAGGAGCCAGAAGCCTCCTGCAGGTTTCCCATGTGGGTGCAGGGTTCCAAGGCTTTGGGCTGTCCTTGTCTGGTTTCTCAGGCCATAAGCAGAGGGCTGGATGGGAAGCAGGGCCACTGGGCTTAGAACTGGCTCCCACATGGGATCCCAGCACATGCAAGGTGAGAACTTTAGCCACTAGGCTAATGCGCCTGGCCCAGGACCCAAATTATATTTTATTTCTTGTTTCCATGAACTTTTTGGTTATTATCAATTGATTGATTTTGTTTTGGTATGGTACTGTGAAAAAGTTTGAGGAAAGTGAATCCACTACAACAATAGAAAAGTAAATTCAATAGTTATCTGTTGAGTTTGAACCATGTGCATATTGTAGTCCTTTGGGTAAACTGTTTTTGTAGCACATGTGTTTTTAGATGTGTATTTTATCTTTTCATTGTCAGTTTAGATTTTCTGTCAATGTTAAAGGGATAATTTATCTCCCCAGATAAAGATAAAACAAAACAAAACAAAATCAAGGTACCAATTGGCTTATTATTCACACAGATGATTAGTTCCAATTTTTTAAAACAATTCAATTTTCAAAGTGGGTTCCAAAGTCAGTTCGTAAAATTCTTCGTTCAACATATATAGCCTGCAGATGGTGCAAGATTTTGTGGCTGCTTATTTCCTCCACCCAGAGGCAGCGACTCTTCCAGAGACACTGTATGTGAAAGAGTAATTTCCTTAAATATGTCTACTTAAGATCTTTCTAATCATCTTGCCATTAGGAATAATATTGTGAAAATATCTTTGTTCTTGTACCATTTCCTACACATATAAACATAGTTCTGGGATAAATATCTGGAAATAAAATCAGTTGATCAGATTGTCACTGCATGGTACATCCTAGTAAATATTGCCAAAATTGACTCGTTCTCACACCCTTGCTGACTCAGTGTGGGCTATTCTTTGTCAATAGTTCAGAGAAATTATTCTGCTGTAAACTTAATTTGTACTTTTCTTATTAGTGAGCTAGAGCCTTTTACATTGCTTGATAGATAACTATGTTTCATTTCCTGTTAGTTTTAATGTGGAAGTTCTGTGTGATTTTAGATCTTTATTTATGCTTTTTAAAAATTTGTTGGATTAAAACTTATCTTGGAATTTATTATACCTTTGTTTCATGATTTTTCAATTTGTGATCTACCTAGAATGGCTTTCACGATTATAATATCCTTAAAAAGTGTTCTGTATTTTCTTTGCACCTAGCATGTTGATCAATGTTGCAATAAGCAAAAAGTATTCTTGTACATTTAAATTACCATTGCCTTTGCCAAAAGATTAAAACTTATAGTTTTCAAGAATTCAAAATGCATTCTAAAAAAATTGATTGACAT